CGTCTTATAGGTTCGTGAGATAAGTGCTTAAGTCCACAGACACGTGATACATTCAGAAGAACCATTTGTTGGATAAGTTCACAAGAGTAACGGTGTGGTATAGGTTCACAAGAGTCACGGTGTGGTATAGGTTCACAAGAGCCTTGGTGTGGTATAGGTTCACAAGAGCCTTTGTGTGGTATAGGTTCACAAGAGCCCTGGTGTAGTATAGGTTCACAAGAGTCACGGTGTGGTATAGGTTCACAAGAGCCTTGGTGTGGTATAGGTTCACAAGAGCCTTGGTGTAGTATAGGTTCACAAGAGCCTTGGTGTGGTATAGGTTCACAAGAGCCCTGGTGTAGTATAGGTTCACAAGAGCCCTGGTGTGGTATAGGTTCACAAGAGCATTGGTGTGGTATAGGTTCACAAGGGCCCTGGTGTAGTATAGGTTCACAAGAGCCTTGGTGTGGTATAGGTTCACAAGGGCCTTGGTGTTGAATTAGTTGAACCTCGGTGTTGGATAAGTTAGCATAAGCCATGGCGAGAGATGTTCACCAGAACTATGTGTGGGGGAGGTAAGGTAACACATCATGGTGTGTGGTACTTCCTCAATGCACATGGAAAGCGTTTTCAGTAAACATGGTATTGGATAAGTTCTCAAAAACAAATTCGACTTGTCATAAACCTTAAGGGGCATAAATTCTCAATAACTATGACGTGTAACATGGCGTGGTATAATCTCTCACAAAGCATGCTAGTGAAAATAGGGGGCTGATACTCTCTCATAGTCAGGACAGGTGATTCCGGGAAATCCCGTCTTGTGACATGGGAGACGTTCTCTCATAGTCAGGACAGGTGATTCCGGGGAATCCCATCTTGTGACATGGAAGAAGTTCTCTCATAGTCAGGACAGGTGATTCCGGGGAATCCCATCTTGTGACATGGCACGTTCTCTCATAGTCAGGACAGATGATTCCGGGGAATCCCATCTTGTGACATGAAGGAAGTTCTCTCATAGTTAGGACAGGTGATTCCGGGGGAATCCCATCTTGTGACATGGGAGAAGTTCTCTCATAGCCAGGACAGGTGATTCCGGGGAATCCCATCTTGTGATATGAAGGAAGTTCTGTCATAGTCAGGACAGGTGATTCCGGGGGAATCCCATCTTGTGACATGGGAGAAGTTCTCTCAAAGTCAGGACAGTCGATTCCGGGGAATCCCATCTTGTGACATGAAGGAAGTTCTCTCATAGTCAGGACAGGTGATTCCGGGGATCCCATTTAGTGACACGGAGGAAGTAAAGTATACTACCCCTTATGAATATCTAGCGTGGAAGAGATATATTTGATATGATTAACGGAATCCCAGATTACGGAGGCCATACTCTTTTCAGTAGATTGGGGAGTCTTTGGTGGTCAAATGTCAACTGTTTCAATGTTTAAATCCAGTGATAAATAGAGGGGTCCTTTGTCATCCTTTGTCGTTGCAAGAACCTTGCTGGATCAGCTTCAATCAGGAAGATTTTCATGTTCTGCCTTGTGCGTCTTTAGTCCTAACTCAGGCGCTTGACGACTTCAAGGGCTGATACTTTCTTCATTGTCGTGCAGTGGTGGAATATTTCTGGCATCACTGACGTCACAGGCCTTTCAGAACAGAAATCGGAGTACAGACCCTACAACGCTAAAGAATCTGCTGCCAACCTCGTACAGTGGCGTAGTAAGGAGCATGCACTCATGTTTATAGATGGCTTTTTGGAGTTCAGGCACTTTCTGCCTGTAATTGATCGCCGCACGTATCTAAAGTTTGTCAATTTTCCAAACATCGCAGTCCCCTGCCTATTTTACTGACTCGTTACAGCGAAATATACCTAAATGACTCACGTATTCTTGATATGCCTCTATGATATCATGTCACGTCCACAACAAAACTTTACTATTACATTCGTTTCAGAATTTATCAGTCAGCCCTCATGTATACGTACACAGATGTTACAGATGATATATCGGACCAGACTCTCGAACCTGTGAAACAATGGTGAATAAAACAGGTTAGCGACGACAGATGTATCTAAAGATGCCCGAAGTAACACACACACATACAGTTGTTCCTGTTGGTTAAGCATACCTGGGAGTAGCTATACTGAACACATCAAACAGGGCTTTTATTTCCCTAATCTACTGCTATGAAAAAACAACTGACTGTCACTGTGCGCAGCTCTAAACAAAGATAATTAATTCTCTATTCCTGGTGCGTTAATGTAATGTGCATGGCACTCTTGCGAGTTTCGAACGTCGAAGCGTCAGACATGGAAGTTTAAAAACATTTGTTTTTTCGTAAATGGAGTTCAGATCGGCAGCATCTGGGAATTCCAACATGCCAATAAACCAAGCAGTAGCCCGTGCAGAAAACAATCACCCACAATTTGAAACATAAATATCTGAAGTGAGGGAGAAACCCATGCTTTGTAATCGTTGTTCACTCACGTGGCCAGCGCCGACGTCGTTAATGTGAATGTTTGAAAGGACTGCCACCGCTATTTGATCCGCCTGTTACACCCGCACGTAACAGTTTAACTAGATGGCCTATCAAACTGGTCGGAATAACAAACATGCGATACATGGCCGTTGTGCAGGGGAGACAACTCTAGGTGAATTATACATGCACAGTGACTGCAGAGGTGATAAAACAATAAAAGAAATAATATTTACAAACTCTGTCTGCTGTTGATTAACAAGAAAGTAACCCCCGGCATTGCGAGGTCAATGATCCTGGATACACAAACATGCACCCTGGTAGGCATTACGAATGAAATTCTTCAGCATGATATGTCAATACAATATGTATTCAACATGATATGTATAAACAATGATATGTATTGAACATATGTATATACCAAGATATGTATTCAAGAGAATAATGCATATACCAAGATATGTATTCAAGAATATAATCATATTATGTATACACACTGAGCTATATTCAACATGATATGTATTCAATATTATGATTATGTATATACCAAGATATATATTTAACAGGAGATGTATTTACAATACATACATATATATATATATATATTCATTATTGATGTATCAAGAGTCTTCATTGCAATAGATGCGACGTTTATGTTAGGGATCATGTGTATAGTATGTATCGCCATGACTTCAGGTGAAAGTGACAGTCTACCAAACCACGAGGACGATAGGGTGACTTTCTTGGTAATGGCATCAGGATCTACATCAAAACGTCTCATCTAATGCAAAAAAGAAATTGTCTTTTCATAAAATTGTTCCTTTTCATCATACCAGTTTCTAAATGCCACTGAAAGAAATATTAATATATCATTTATTGCTGTACAATATTTACAATATATATATATGCTATGATAATAAAGAATTCTTTTCTGCTCCGATAACCCGCTCGGTAAGAGCTACATCCTATAATAACAGATGTTCCTAATGCGCATGACAATAACATCACCCTGGTGTGAAAACACTGTTGTCTTTCCGATCCGTAATACTTACGTTATCTTGTTAAACCTATATGATATTAAATATATATTGTCATTCTGCTTTGATAACATGTACACCATCCTGCTACGATAACCTTGACACAATCTTCTGTGACATTCACAGTATTGCACAGCACCATTATTGTATATATAATAACAATAACGCTGGGAAAAATCAGCATGTTTTAGAATTTACACCCCGTGCGAGTATACTGGATGTTAGAGCATTCCTATGACATCACAAATATTTGGACTATTTTTTAAAGAAAAACAATTCATGAAATACTAATTCAAAACAGCAAAATCAATAAATATACGATTGTGAGATTGAAATTGCAGGTGTGCGCACAAAACAAACAGCAATCAATCGATATGATTAATGAAGACGATAATCAGTATCAAAAAGTCAGTTACAACATGACATACCTCTCTCCGATACCGGGCCAGTAGATTTCCCTATTCGTCTGATACAATCACATAAATAATTCCTTAATAATCACGAATAGCTCCCCGGTCGGGACACACGATGTAGCGGGTGTGTTGCATAACCGTTCTGCAGACAGGGGGCGCTGGTAGGTACGCTCGGGGGCGCCGCCGTATGCCGCAGTCTCCTTCTATTCACGCTCACTCAGAATATTTCGGAGATTTCCGTGATTCGCGTGGTCAGATTTCTGTTGGTACGCTGGGTCAGTCTATTTGAATCGTTTTGCACAAGGTCGGGAGCACGACAAGAGGCGATCGTCAACATGGAATATATACGTTGGTCTCGGTTAATCCGAACATCCTGCTTTCTGAACAATCATATCAGAAAGTGAGATTTACAGTACTCTTTAACAATGTTTAATCTGTATGGTTTCACATAGAAATATATCATGTGAGTGAGTGAGTTTAGTTTTACGCCGCACTCAGCAATATTCCAGCTATAAAATATATCATGTGGATTAAGGAGGATTATATATAGGTTGTGAGAGGACAGCAGAACACATTCAAAATGTATGTAAGGTGCATACTCGGGCTACAGGTGAGATGTGCGTTTGTGCGTTTGTGTGTTTGTGCGTGTGTGTGTTGTATAACGCCGCACTCAGTGTTATTTCGGGTGTATGACAAAATCCGTCAAAATGTTATGAAGTTTTACTAGGTCTGGTGATCTCAGGGGGCAGCGTCAACCCTTGTTGTCTGGGAGTTCATTCTTACTTTCTCTCTGTGAGTAACATGATTATAGACACTGGCCGTATTTGTATCAGTCACTGTGCATGGACACGGTGTATAGTGCTGACATACAGAAATACAACAAGGTACATCTGTTTCAACGGAAGCTATGTGAATTTGATCGGTGGACAGCTAGATTGAAATGTCTGGTAAGGAACTTCCAGCTGTATTTATTTATTTACCATAAACCACCGGTACTGATTGTCTCACTTGCAACAGGTTGCAAGTACAAAGGTTACAGAAAACAGAAACAAATACAAAGGCATGTCCTCACTACTGTCTGGTACACATCTTCCAGATACTATAGAGCCGGGTGTTGGTGGTTGCCGGGTGTTGGTGGTTGCCGGTGGTTGCCGGTTCTTGGTGGTTGCCGGTTCTTGGTGGTTGCCGGGTCTTGGTGGTTGCCGGTGGTTGCCGGGTGTTGGTGGTTGCCGGGTGTTGGTGGTTGCCGGTGGTTGCCGGGTGTTGGTGGTTGCCGGGTCTTGGTGGTTGCCGGGTGTTGGTGGTTGCCGGTTTTGGGTGGTTGCCGGGTGTTGGTGGTTGCCGGTTCTTGGTGGTTGCCGGGTGTTGGTGATTGCCGGGTGTTGGTGGTTGCCGGTTCTTGGTGGTTGCCGGTTCTTGGTGGTTGCCGGGTCTTGGTGGTTGCCGGTTCTTGGTGGTTGCCGGGTGCTGGTGGGTGCCGGTTCTTGGTGGTTGCCGGGTCTTGGTGGTTGCCGGGTGTTGGTGGTTGGCGGGTGTTGGTGGTTGCCGGGTGTTGGTGGTTGCCGGTTCTTGGAGGTTGCCGGGTGTTGGTGGCTGCCGGGACTTGGTGGTTGCCGGTTCTTGGTGGTTGCCGGGTCTTGGTGGTTGCCGGGTCTTGGTGGTTGCCGGGTGTTGGTGGTTGCCGGGTCTTGGTGGTTGCCGGGTGTTGGTGGTTGCCGGGTCTTGTTGGCTGCCGGGACTTGTTGGTTGCCGGGTCTTGGTGGTTGCCGGTTCTTGGAGGTTGCCGGGTGTTGGTGGTTGTCGGGACGAAGCGGACTCAGAAAAAGAACAAAACACATATACACTGTTTACCTCGAAGACGCTTACACATATGTACTCTCTACTTCGAACACACGCACACAAATATACACGGTCTACCTCGAACACATGTATACACACAAATATACACTCTCTGCCTCGAACGCATACATACACACAAATATACATCGTCTACCTCGAACACACGCATACACACAAATATACATCGTCTACCTCGAACACACGCATACACTTAAATACACACTGTCTACCTAGAACACACGCACACAAATATGCACTGTCTACCTCGAACACACACATACATATTAACCGTCTACCTCGAACACGCATACATATACACTGTCTACCTCGAACACACTCATACATATACACCGTCTACCATTGGAGATGCCACTGTAGCGATTCATATATTCATTTTTTAAGTGATGTGTCAGTCCATAACGATGCTAGTCATTATATGTTAAGATCTATATCGCAACGTTACACTGGCAGGTCCATAACTTGGAATCCCAAAGTAAATCCCGTCTACTGTTATACGTCACTTTCTGAATCTTACTTAAAGGTATAGATGGTAATACGTGGGAAGACATGCTACCGCATAGTAACATGGTTACTCTGGCTGGTGTAGAGTGTCCTAACTATTACAGGTATTGGACAGTGATGGTATTCAGTGGTGGGGTGGTCATCCTGGTGTGCCGTAGAAGACCTAACTATGCTAAAGAAGGTGCTGGAGGGCACGATGTCACAACCTTTTGATTGTTGGATACCTAAACTCCACACATGGCTGTCGATAATGTTGTGGTCACCCCTGGTGTGGAGTAGGTTACAACGGAACAGCGCCACCTGCCGTAGAAGCAGTCAACTGTCTGATCGATGTTCTCTTATCACTTTATACTCGACTATCGACGTGACCGTGGAAAAATCGAAGGTAATTAGTACAAAAACAAAGGAACTCATTAGCGAAGTCTACAAGTTACCCAGGAATCACTGAAATGAAGCAAATCAGCTCCTTTTACCGCGGGAAATTGTGGTCCTTTCTCGTGCAGATTATGATGTGTATGATACATGACTGATGGGTTGGGCGTGTACAGGACACGGGTCGGATTGGATGCTGCAGAGGTCCAGCCCGGATCACCAGTCTCTGATGCCGATAGGAGGGACTCATTGATGGATGATCGTTAATTGGACTGAGTTGCCATCAGAATACAAATATCAAACACACTGAACAAGGTTCCCGCAGTTGGACCTTTAAGAAAATTGGATCAATGCAAACAGTGACTGAAGCTGCTGACCACTTTGTGCGCTTGTACCTGCGCCTTTCCATTAAGTTATCACTATGTACCATCGTACTTCTACCATCCTATAAGGTAACCAATGTGTGCAATAGTACTTCTGCCATCCATAAGGTAACCAATTTGTACGATAGTACTTCTACCATCCTATAAGGTACCCAATGTGTGCAATAGTACTTCTGCCATCCATAAGGTAACCAAATTGTACGATAGTACTTCTACCATCCTATAAGGTACCCAATGTGTGCAATAGTACTTCTATCATCCCATAAGGTATCCAATGTGTGCAATAGTACTTCTATCATCCTATAAGGTAACCAATGTGTGCAATAGTACTTCTGCCATCCTATAAGGTACCCAATGTGTGCAATAGTACTTCTATCATCCCATAAGGTATCCAATGTGTGCAATAGTTCTTCTACCATCCCATAAGGTAACCAATCTGTGCAATAGTACTTCTGTCATTCTATAAGGTAACCAATTTGTGCAATGGTACTTCTACCATCCCATAAGGTAACTAATTTGTGCAATAGTACTTCTGCCATCCTAAAAAAGGTAACCAGTGTGTGCAATAGTACTTCTACCATCCTATAAGGTAACCGATTTGTTCTATAGTACTTCTACCATCCTATAAGGTAACCAATTTGTGCAATATTACTTCTATCATCCTATAAGGTAACCAATGTGTGCAATAGTACTTCTACCATCCTATAAGGTACCAAATGTGTGCAATAGTACTTCTACTATCCCATAAGGTAACCAATGTGTGCAATAGTGCTTCTACCATCCCATAAGGTAACCAATGTGTGCAATAGTTCTTCTACCATCCCATAAGGTAACCAATTTGTACGATAGTACTTCTACCATCGTATAAGGTAACCGAATTTGTACGATTGCACTTCTACCATCAAATAAAGTAACCAGAATATGAGCTAGTGCCGGTACCATCCCATTATGTATTTCTCAAGCACTCTCGCTGTCAGCACGTGGTATCGACCCACTCATGCTGCCCGGTCTTCCGGTGACGATACGATCTTGGTAACACAATGGAAACGCTATGGTCGATCTTCTTAAGGTGTCCTGCTTAATCTAGTACTATAGTAGAAAGTGAAATCGCATGCTGATGGATGACTCCCAAATTCTCCTCACATAATGTATCGTATTTGAACATACACCTCTGTACCCACCAGTAAATTAAAGACCAACATTTCTTACATAATCAACAGACAATTCTACAAAAAGCAATGCCGAGTGTCGATATATTATGAGAATGTGTTTATAAATCACTATCAAATATTGATGGTAACAAAACGATTTTCAATATACGTACAGGCCATCTGAGGACTGGCGGCACTCACATGATTCAGATACCTCTGCGCACCTTAAGTAATTAACGGAATTAATAGGTGTGGACTCTGCATGAAGTAATGACCATGGAGTTTTATAATCAGGACACCATCAACAGTTTCACATGTTAATACAATCTGACCAGTCCTGTCCTAAAAATAGAACTTCTAAATGACAGTGTGAGAATACTGAAATAAGCCCGACCGCCGTCGGAGCCCCTTCCACTAAACAACACTGTCTCATAGCTTTCATGGTCCACCAGAAAAGTATGTAATTGATATGTCTACCGCTGACACTTCTAAAATAAGCTGTAGTTTACAACTATTGCAACCATGACTAGATTGTCAACTCCATTCATTACAGAGTTTGTCCAAAATATTTCCATCATGTTCCATGGACAGGTCGAAGGTGTTGTGATGCCACAACAGGAGAACGTAACTAATTTCAACCTGAAGACAAACATAAATTTTCATTAACGCCATTTCAGATCCCATTTATATCGTCAAAAAAGAACATTCTATACAGAAACCCTCATATTTGAGGTTTTAATTGAATTGCTTATAAACGCACTATAACAGGTGCGCATTGATTACTTTAGCTCAGGCAGTGAAGCATTGCACACATGCTGGACAGTCTTCACTTCTTCAATCACATGTCTTGTCTGTACGTTGTTGTTTTTGAATTACAAAAAGCTACACTATAAACAACCAACCATTTGGAAGATAAACACTTTCTGTTTTAATTCAGCTTTGGAAAATTTCCTTCCAACTGTCATTCACATTTCACTTTAAGGGAATCCCCTTTGATGATAACAGACCAACCTTGTAATGTAGTCATTATCTTGTCCTTGCACAGGGTAATACTTTGTTCAAAACATTTCTCAAATAATCACCTTAGTTTGTGTTTCATGTCGTAGTGAAGAATAAATATAGTTTTTATTTCAAACTGCATTAATCTCTCATACATTATGGGTGGTTGACTCTCGGTTAAAGGTATTTAATGTTGTGGTTCAGCTGTGAGCTCCTTGCAAACCTTACGACGCTGAAAACACGAAAGTGAATTTGAGTTACAAAATACCTTTGCAGCATGAATAATTATAAACAAACTTGACACTTCTTGTAAACCTAGTGTCCAAGTGATGCTTAAGACGCGATACCAAGTTTCAGGTCATGTATAACTGTCAATGAAACATATTCTTGCTTTCTTGACTATTGATGTCTTCAATGAACGCTTTCTTGGACTGCACTGACGGCGTCAGACTGCACCAGTAGTGCTCTTCTGAGTCTACAATGGCCGATGATGTCGACACAGGATAACAACGCGCATGACAGGAAATAAACCGTCAAATAAATAGTCATGTGTCAGTTACATGGCTTCAAGCGGAGGAAACGTCACAAAGAGGCGGTAAATGACGTTTTGGTGGAAGTGTCAACAGAACATTGTGTCTTCAATGAAACGTACGTTAGAATAGTCCGGCACAGAGCAAGGTCCTCGTGGATACAGTGAGATAAGTAATCGATCTCTAGTTGATGGCTGTTCCGGACGTGTCTTGGCTATAAAGATCTGTGATGCTCCTCATCTCGCTGACCCACATTGTGTCCTGTCTTATATATGTTTTTTTAAATGTTCGGTGGCTTTAAAAAAACATTACGCCCGGTTTTATTCCCAAGGTTCAGCCGTTTATAAGGTTTACACAGTTTATACGACTTGAGAAGCACTGACTTCATAAACTATAATCGATGGCTCTCAGGACCTTAAACAACCAAAGAAATTGCAAAACAATAATATAACAATGTTTCAAAATGTATTTAAAATTATTTCATTATTTTATTTATTTTAAATCTTGTAATTATAAATATTTGAGCTTTGCTGAGGGAAATGAATACCTTTTCATTGTTTCTCTGTCAACCCTGATATTTCATTTTGTTGAAACCAGATTTCACGTTTACCAGTCCTGGTATTAAACGTATATTACGGCCATGTTGTACTGTAATAGAGAGTTGCCCAGAGACCATAAGTGCCAACTGGCTATGCAATGTTGCTTCCCTGTCTTGCATGGCATGCCTCAATTGGCCGTGTAGTGTTGCGTCCCTTGGCATTGCAAGGATCTGCTGATCCGAGACGTGTCCTCGTTACAATCCCCAAACACTCAATGTACATGCACTTGTTTTAATAAATGCGTATTTATCGCTTCAATACATATTTATGTTGTTGTTGTTTTCGTCTAGTCTCTCTCACTGTCACTGACGATGGCACCAATGGACAATCCGATCAGAGACACCAAGTACCCCCGCTTCTCAACAAAATCATTCCAGGTTGAAGCCACGGATTGCAAGTGTTTGCGTTACGTAATGGAATTACACAAATCCTAAACACCGACAACACGCGCCCCCTGGTGGTGGACTCGGAGCACGATATCCCTGGTCATCAGCACTCTGTATGGAAATATTTAAGATGAAAATTACGATTTGAATCTGCAACAAAATAGCTGTGACAGTTTAAGAATGGAATGTTTGCCCTGCTTGCAGTGTGAGAGGCTGGTGAATGTGTTTTGCTTTGTCAAGCCCTCTCGGGTCCCCTCGGGTCCTCCGTGATTGTGGCATCCTGCAGATTACTGTAGAGAGAGTAAACACTTGAGTAGGACGGGTATTCCTCTCACACGACCGGGCTTCACAAATATCTTCAGTACACACCCATGTCAATACCAGGAGATTTGTATTTTACACCTTTCTTAAAATCAATCTCAAGCAAGAAGACTTCCACTCCATTAATACCCACTGCAACTCTTCCTCGAGGGGTTTTAAGGGATGTTGAAACAAACCATATTTCCCTTGAATATCAATTTCAAATTAAGTGATCAAAATCAGCTAAGCGTTCTGGAAGATCCGCAAGTGACAATAATTAACAAGCTGATTTCCGATAAGTATGGAAGCGCTTTTTTCTATTCTAGCTTTAAACATTTACCAGCCGTAAAGCTAGAATGCTAATATTCTTAGACTACAGGAATGCTAAAGAGCTTAAAAGGCTGACTCATCCACACCATTCTCAAAGTTTTCTTTGTTTACAATTGTCCCGGGAATCACCATTTGTGTCCACCCAAGCATGTACGTGTGTGTGTCTGGGACAGTGGAAGGTGAATGGATGATCGTGTGTGTGTGTGTGTGTGTGTGTGAGAGAGAGAGAGAGAGATAGACAGAGAGAGAGAGAGAGAGAGAGAGAGAGAGAGAGAGAGAAGAGAGAGAGAGAGAGAGAGATGGTGAATGGATCACCGTGTGAGTGCTGTATGTCTTTATGTGTCTGTGTGTCCGGGTTATGCTACAGTGCAACCAGAAAGTATTGAGATTTTTTTTCACTCATTACTCACGTATTAAATGTGAATATTAGCAGAACATAACTCCAGATTCAAAGATAGGTGAACAGTTAGTATTTTGTCAAGTCACCATGGGCAGCAATGCAGGCTTCAATGCGGCGGGGCATACTACTGATCAAAGAAGTTAGAAAGTCGTGGTCCATGCTGTCCCAATATCGGACCACCTCTTCTTTCATTTCAGCAATATTTGTCAGATTTTTCTTATTGACACTTTCCTTCATAAGATTTAGGTCAGGGTTATGGCTTGGCCAATCTAATAATGGCATATTTTGGGTCCGAAACCAGGCCTGTGAATGCTTTGAACGATGTTTTGGGTGGTTGTCCTGCTGGAAAATCCAAAAATTTCCAAAAAGTAAATGTCCCTCGAGAATATCTGTGTACCGCTCACTGTTCATATTCCCTTCAAATACACAGAGGGGCGTTGCCCCTAACACAGATATGCCATCCCACACGTTAACTTTCGGACTGTACTTTGGGCGCTGATACAAAGGTTTTTCAGTTTGTTTGGTCCAGAATGTTAGTGTATTAGGAAACAGCCACACATAACTTTCATCTGAGAAAATCACATTGTCCCAGTTAAAATGTCTATGCTGTAAGCACCAGTTCAACCTTCGCTCCTTTTGTTCAGGTTTCATGATCGGTGATGGAATTCCTCGACTTTTCTGCCAACCCATTGCATGCAGCTCAGTTCTAATTGTCTCCTTATAGACAGCCACAGCTCCTCTATCAGTCATATCCAGCCTTACGTTTTTCTAAACTCCTTCGTTTGTTTTTAGAAATAAGAATACCAAGCCGCCTCCTGTCACCGACAGTCAATTTTCTGGGCCTACCTGCGCCCCCCTGGTGCTCAGTGCCATATCTATTTGCAATATTTTTCAAAACACGATAAACAGTGGACAAAGGGATGCCTGTTCTACTTGAAATCACTTTAGCTGATCTGATGTCCTTGTTATAATACTCTGGGGCGGTGGGGTAGCCGAGTGGTTAAAGCGTTGGCTCGTCACGCCGAAGACCCGGGTTCGAATCCCCACATGGGTACATTGTGTGAAGCCCATTTCTGGTGTCCCCCGCCGTGATGTTGCTGGAATATTGCTAAAAGCGGCGTAAAAGTAAACTCAGTCAGTCTGTCAGTCCAGTGATGAAGTTATGATACTCTAAAATCAACTTCCACTTCTCTAAATCATCCATACTGAGGATCACTGAAAATGTCGTCTGCTAGCAAGTAAACAAAGGGGGATAACTCTTCAAAAACTAATGAAAAAAGGATTAACGGAGTTGTCTCTCTTGAATAAAACCAAGCACTTGATAGCTTGTCAAGGTTGTTTATACTAGAAATCCAATTAAACATATTCCTAAAATTCTCAATAATGTCTGGTCATACTATATATGGTATCACATCAATGGTATCACTTCATTGTGTGAAGTGGACTACATATCCACTTCTTTCACTGGGTAACAACAGGTGACATTATATACATACACGTGTATGTTGGCAGGTATGTGAAAAAGTAACTGAATCCGAGCTTTAAAGTGTCCTTCTTTCAATGTCGTGTTATTTTGATATATCGGTTTGTTTGATAGTCTGACCTTAAGGTCATGTACAGCAAATTCTGACCTTCGTGATTATCTCTACAAGAACAGAGAACAAGAATTTGTCCGTCACATGTAAGGAATTATGTATGAATGCACTTGTACTTGCATGAAAGTCTAGTTCATGTACGATATTGGGAACGCACTAGCTGCGTCACTTCGGTGTACACAGGTCACTGAAGGACGAGCGACTCAACGCCATAACCCGACAACAGACCCGTACAAGCACACTTACCTTGCGGCATGTAGCAGGTACACTTGTATGTCGACAGATTCAGCAGGTTTATGAACTGAGAGACGTAAAGACAGGTTTTGTGTTTATGGTACAGTCTAAACAGATGTGTTTACTGAGAGACTCGCAGAACGGAAGAATGTTCTGAAATAAACTATGGGCAATTGGTATAATTTGAACTGGAGTCAATGCTCACATACGTCTTCAGGCCACATCAACCTATCAAAACAAAACAAAGCCCCAAAACATACATCACTTAATCTGTCAACCATTTAACAAATTGAATAAGAGGTTTCAATGGTTTCCAACAATTGAATTCTTCACACAGGTTCTTGGAGGGAGCTGCTAAAATGTTTTGAACATGATGCAACGCCTTGGAAAGTTAATTTTTTATAAATCTGTTCATCAACCATAATAAACGTATATAAAAAATCATATGTATATATCAATAATAAAGAAATGTTGAAGGAAAACCTCACGTCCCATGTGTTCGATAAATGGCTGATAAGAACACCCTAACAGATTTGCAAAGATTCCTTTATCCCAGATGGCAAACCATTACACACATACTGGGCAGTCTTCAGGCCGTCAATCATGTCTTTCTCAATTCTGCTTTTCTGCATCACCACAAAAAGACTGGAGCCAAAAAGGCATTCTAAGGAGAAACTATTTTATTATTCTGTTTCACTTTCAGTTTTTAATTCAGTTTGGGACAATTCCCGTCCACCAAAAACGCTCCTTCTTCCGTAACCTTCTCCTGGGGAATACTTTCGACTATAATTTGGCATGAAATGCATGTGGACCCGTTTTTTAAAAAAGAGAGCACACGTAGCAAACCGATTTATATGGTGTCGGATTACATGAAACGTACAACTTTTGCTCTTGGCATGAAAAAGAACATCGTGCTAAAAATTGTGAAAAATGAACCAACAGCCAATAAACAAAACCTTGTACAAAAAGGTAGGCATCCAAAGTTAGATTCTTTTGGCATCAGGGTCATCAGAGATGTCATTCGCCGGCTATTTGCAAAATTTAAAGATTTTAACCTACAGAATAATTCTCACTAATGGGTTTTGTGGTTAATGTTGAACAACTCAGAGAAACAAACTCCGTATGATGGTTAACAGTTGGCACCCACCTGACCCTATTCACGACCTGTGACACCTCTTCATACCTGTCACGTGCATAGCTGACCTACATTGACGAACGTTGACCTTTATGACCCAACACTGCCGCTGGTACAGGTCATTGGCTCCCTCCCTCTGCAAGCATTCTGCGTTCTGCTGTTTATTTTGTTGACAGTTACATAGACAGATTCTTTAATACAAATGCATAAAATCAGTGATTTACAATGTGATTAGGTTGTCTGACAAAACATCCACTTGCACAGTTTGAGATCGATTTGGTCATTGGATGAAAAGATATTTACAAAAAATCGGGTCCACATGCATTTCATGCCAAAATATAGTATTGGTTCTCATTACCAGTTTAGTCTTGTTCTTCTTGCCCTGGTAGAACCTTTTCTAATATGTCTTGGGCCGTCAAATGTTTAAGTTTTCATGGGTACTGTGAGATAAGGGTGATATTTGACCGCAAACTGTATTTATCGTGGGATAAAGGCGGGTGCTTTATTTTTAGTTAAAGGTTTGAACGTTGAAACAACCCCAACCCTCCTGCGTTCACGCTGAGTACTGTAGACACAAACTCAGTTTAAGGTACAAGACATCAGTAAAACAGGAAATATTGAGATGATCCCCGAGCAACGACATTTGTGACACAACTGCTGTTAAACTGATACTTTAGATACGATGCCCAGCGTTAGGTTTGTCTAACCGGTTTCACCACCGATGTTGTTTCATCACAAGTCTAAGCACCATTAGGGACCGTTCATAATTTATGGCTCGGGGTGGTGGTTGGTGTACAATGTGAATGACCACCCCTAAAATGTATGTAGCAAGTAAGTGACCCCCTTGCATGTCATGTACATAATCAATGACAACACCACCACCCCTCAGCCCCCCCCCTCCCACACACACCTCCCACACACACACACACACTTTACATAAAATTTAAGCATGTGTGTTTTCTTAATATTTTTATGTACAAAATTGAAGACCCCACTAGTACATGTGTACAAAATTGATGATCCACGCCCCTTCCCAGAACAAAATGGGTGATCCCCCTTGAAATCCTCACACACTCACACTAACACACACACGCCATCCCGACACAATTTTAATGTTTATGCCTCCATAAACACACAAACACATGAATGTCTATTCTCATCTATGAATAAGTCAACAATGCTAACTGGTCATTTAGATTAACGAAATCAGGGATATCTTTGAGCCCAGTAACTCCATACACGCCAAGTCAACACTTTTGTCAGCCAATCAGGAAAAGGTCGTCACAAAGCGGGCGTGGAATCATTCATTTTTACCTGAAAAAACATAAAGCATTTTAGCCAATCAAATGCCGAAGAATCATTTGCAGTTTACTTAAAACAGAAATGATAAAGTGTGATGTGTATGTTTAGGAACAGGGATGTTACCCAGTCTAGTGAAGTGTGTGGACCCATCTTGTCTGGTATAATCCCGTCTACGTCTGGAATCTGCCAGGTATTCAGAGTGCTGCTTGTTCAGACAATGATAAATCAAATCAAACGGTAGAGAGCAATTTCCAAGTGCAACTGCCAAATCATCAACTACTGAGAAGAAACCAGGTGCTGATGTCGTCCACGTGTAATCCACGCCACTGTTTCGTCTTAAACGTACAAATACAGAAAGGAGGACTATAACCGCATGTGATAATGCGTTGACAGAATCACTCACCTGCCAGGTGTATCTACGAGCTCTCTGACAGTATAGCTTCAGTATATTGCACTTCAAGTGATGCGAGCTATTAAGCCGATACCCCACATTTGAGAGTCACCCTTTTTATCCTCATCACATTAACGCTGTTCTGTATCAGGGACGTCGGTAGGCCAGTTACCTAAGGTGACCGGTTATTTGTACGGCGTTTGCTCCCTTAGCCATGCAAGGATCCGCTGATCCCAAATTGCTGCTCCTCGGTGGATTTGCTGATCTCACCAAAGTATTATACGTCCACAATCTGCTTTATTTCCTTCCAAAAAACTGACACGTCTTCATATGTTTGAAATACCGTTCAAACAGGTAGAAATCCTACTACTGACTGACTGAGTTTGGTTTTACGTCGCTTTTAGCAATATTCCAGCAACATCACGGCGGGGGACACCAGAAATGGGCAGAAATCCTACTAACCTACTGTACATGTAATAGAGTAGATCAACGAGACACTCACTAACCCTGTGTCTTTATTTAGCCTTGTTTGTAATGTTTCTAATGATTCCGATGTGGAATGCATTAGTGCTTATGGCCGTTTCACAAGACGGCTCCATTACTCCATGTAAAACCCCAACACGGGACAACTGACTACATTATGTAACTACTTAGTGAGCGGGTAAAGCAATCCTGGAACCAGACATGCTACATGGCAGCCCCCTCGGTACATGAACCTGCTGCAGGTGAATATAACACCCAGGTCTCATCATACTGATTAGCATATATCATGAACATCCAACTAACGATGTGTTGGGTCGAGCTTTAATTGAGTTCTTTACGCTCAGAGGCAGTTTTAAAACACTTTATGTGAAGGTGATTGTGCAAAAACCGCGGCATTCCTCATCTGGCACAAGACATGGGCGAGCACGTGTGTTGTAGCTGCCAGTCAGAACAGTTGTCGCCCTCGCCCAACAACAGCAGGCTACAACATAACGCGTGTTGTACTATAAACACCACAGTCTACAGCCAGGGGGGTGATACAGGAGGAATACAGGCAGGTAGATCTGATAGCAGGTCCAACATCCTTGTCTTTACGGAAGGTAGATCTGATAGCAGGTCCAACATCCTTGTTTTTACGGAAGGTAGATCTGATAGCAGGTCCAACACCCTTGTTTTTACGGAAGGTGGATCTGATAGCAGGTCCAACACCTTGTCTTTATGGAAGGTGGATCTGATAGCAGGTCCAACACCCTTGTCTTTACAAGACCACGGGCAGGTGGATCTAATAGCAGGTCCAGGTCCAACACCCTTTCACCAGGAACACGGACAGGTGAATCTGATAGCAGGTCCAACACCCTTGTCTTTACGGAAGGTGGATCTGAGAGCAGGTCCAACATCATTGTCTTTACAAGACCACGGGCAGGTGGATCTAATAGCAGGTCCAGGTCCAACACCCTTTCACCAGGAACACGGACAGCTGAATCTGACAGCAGGCCCAATACCTTTCAACTGCTGCTGTCAAATGACACTCCATGTACTGTGGGAACTGCCGTATACCGTGTCTGGATTGCCTCACAGCGCTTCTTGTTTAACACACAACTCAACCGTTGTTCAGCTATATGACGGCATATAGTGAGCGACATCATGAGAATCGATCTACGCAATAGGGATATAACGCCATTCTTCAACCAAATCACCGAGACTGATCGCCCGATCCCGTAAGACGCATTTACGACAGTCCAGTATACAGGGAGTGAGTGATGTTTTAAATGACGTCAGTACACCAAGGATCATATCCCGAGGATATCATGAATCAGCGGACCCTTGCATAGCTCTGGACGTAACATTGCAAAGTGAATTAGTCAAACCTGTCCCCTATTGCAGTAGAGAACAAGCAGAGATGTAGGTGGTAGTGCCAGAATGGGCAAGTGTCTAATCACAAGGAATGCAATCGGTGAGAGAGTTACTATGGAGTTATACAGCAAGCATAGTCTGTCCTTACAGTCATCATCGTTACTCCCAGATGTCGACGATAGGACGGGTGATATTGCTGATGCTTCATGACTTATTTGCTTTGCCTTGGTCGGTACTCTTCCATACAACACCGAGGATACCCTGCTGGTTCCAGGCTTGAACAGGATTAAACTGAAGTAGACGTCAAGTAGACAGCGATTGCTTGCCTCAGTGGATCTCTCTCCACAGGGGTCTGTCG